CGACTATATATAATGCAAGAAACTTTTGTTCAATCTTTCTTTTTAACATAGTGTTAAATAATTTAGGTATGATCCTATACTCAGCTCAGTTTCTCAGTTTTCCAAGGTTTTCCAGGGATAAATTTGAAATTCCAGGGTTTTCAAGGGCTTTTCAGGACTATAATAAAAATCCAGGGTTTTCCAGGATTTCCAGGGGGCATACGAACCCTGCTACCCAGTGTCCGACACATCCCTATCCTCAACCAGTGAAATAAATACAACTGGAATGCTACCTCGAACCGGAAATTTGAAGCCAAGCTTGAAGGCCAGTTCCAGTCTTTTCATGCATGCAAAGAGTGCGGTCAATCCATCAACATGAATATGCATTCCCAAATAAATAATGGCAAAAAATGCTTTAACAGTGCTTTTAAGTTTAATCACAGGGGCCAGTTGTTCGAAGCCCGTTTAGCTTAAATAATTAAGTCAAAATTAACTAACAGATTCACACATGATTTTATAAATGATTGAACTTCAATCTCATGCACTAAATATATAGTTGCAAACATAATTGTTCTACTCAAGTTGAAATATTTTAGTTTGGTTACTTGACGAATATACAAACTTGATCAATATTTTCAACTTATCCACCGTTTAAGCTAAACGGGCTTCGAACAACCGGCCCCAGGCCAAATAAAAATAATAGTTCGTTTCAGGTTTTACAGCCCTGTTTTATATGGGTAGGTAGGTTGGAAAAATATTTTATTTTAAAAAATATTTGATCTCAAGTATGCAATAAATTAGTATAAGATAAAACTCATTATACAGTAAACGTGCCACGCGGGATCACCCGTGAGCTACAGTACATGTATTTCGCGAGAAACAAATGCATCAAGGCGTTTTCGTCTTTTTTCAGCCGTAGCTGCCACGTCAGAATAATATACGTTTTTAACATTTTATTCAACTGTTCTTTGTGTAAAACTATGATTAACATGACTAGATAATAATTAAATTATAAGCAAGCAAAACAATTTGTGGACAAATGAGTCTGATAACTATTTAATATATATTCTGCTATTTACGAAAAGATGATCTCTACTGGGAAATGTCAATAACATGTTTATGGTCGGTCGTAGTTTTGACAGATCGGTCGGAAACCTGAAACCAACTATTATTTTTATTTGGCCCCAGTGCTTTAACAGTGCCAAAAATAAACATGCGGGTCTTGACCGCAGGGTTTGGCTTCAGATTTGGCTTCAAGAAAACAATATGCAGTTTATCTGAAGGCAGCATTCCAGATTTCCAGTTCTATTAATTTTTAATACTGTCCTCAACTGATCTGACAATACTCACTTGACATACTTCATGTCTTTCTCTTTTATGTGTCCCGCAATTGACAACACTCCTGCAACAGTCCTTAAATCCAAAACACGGAATACAAACTCATTTCCAATCTCCAGATTACTCCCAACCCAACTGTTCTTACATGATCTTGGTTTAGCCAATGATGCATTAAATCTTTCATGAACCAAACAACCAACATGGCTGCTACTTGTCTTATTTACTACACCAAATAACTTGTTTCCAATCTCTGGTTTAAATACGATATAATTCACTTTAATATCAAAATGTAATAATGGGGATTCATCATAAATTTCTGCTGATCTTTGCAGTACTTTTATATTATCATAAGCAACTATAATCCCGCCATATTCATCAAGAAATTTCCAACGTTGTATTTTATGTTCAATTTGCTCTTGAACACCGTGTTTAATACGGCCAATATAATATGGAGATAAAGCTATGTGTTCTTGTGTTTCTATTTCAACAAAACATGAATGTTTTTCACTGCATTTTCGTTTCGCCTGTGCATAAGTCCAATTTATATTTCTTGCAGTTGCATTCGCCATGTTTTTTCTTGAATATAAAATATTAGTATAATTACAAAGATGATTATCGAAAATTGTGGCCGCTGATTGGTCAAGCGACCTCGGATTATTACACGCGTAAAAATCATCATGTTGTCGCACGTTGTCAACAACTTGTTCACGGTTGTTCAGAACAGGTTGCAGCAATGTTGTGCTGCACCCTGTCAACAAGCTTGTTAACAATATTGTTCACGCTTGTTCGAACAATGTTGTTGACGCCTGATGAACGAACAAGGCCTGAACAACGTTGTTGGAACAACTGAGATCAACCTGATATCAATGATGTTTTATATTGTCAACAACTGCGAACAGTCTTGTTTTATCAATACGTAAACAGCCTGATATCAATCGTTTTCGACGCTGTTATTCGTGGCCATTTTCCAGGGGGGGAGAGAAATTTAAAGGCACAGGTCAGCCTTTTGAATGATGGTTTTTAAGGCGCATTACCAACCTCGTCCCCAGGGTCTTCCTCGTGGTGGCGCGTGAGCTGAGGAAGACCCTGGTAAAATACGATGAAATCTCCAAGATTCTTGGAGATTTATCGCATGCGCAGTAACGACAACGTTATGTTGCTGACTACAATTAGCGCTGGCGCTTACGATTTTCTTGCTTGAAAATATACATGTTTTGTTGATTGTTTATGGATTTATTCTCAAAGTTTTAACAACTTTTACGAAAAATACTTCAGATATAAGCTGTGAACACACATGTACACAAAACTGTGCAACATTTATGATCATATTGTATCAATTTGTCGGAGTATGGCGCTCAAATTTGTGACATTGTTTTGTTCGCTTTGGCACCCTCGTATATATCAGATGCTGTTCGGCCTCAAATGCGACTGAATAAACACTGATAGTGTTGCCTGGAATATGAAATGATATTGACTTATTGTTCTGTATATCAAGGTATGTAATGTACATTTATACTGAATTTATTCGATTTTTTTACACGTTGCTTTCACATTTTCTCAGAGTCTCGGAAATCACATTTTCTAATAAACTCAGTTTCACACATACAGCAAGACTTCATTTCACACATACAGAAAGACTTCTTCAGAAATCATAGTTTTTAACATATAGAAAAACTTCATATTATCTCATCAGTTAATCAAATTATGATAACAGTACGTAGTAGAAATGCTTAAAAAGATTTTATTCTGTTTTCCATATACAGTGTACAACTGTTATTTCAATTTTCTCTTTCCTATATTTTCTTTAAAGCAGGTACTGTTCTGTTACAAAACAACTAATAAATATTTTATTATTTTAACAGGTGAACCATATTTTACATGAACTTGGGGAAAAAAACAACTTGAATTCCATGGAAATATATATAAATCATGTCATCAATCAGATAGTAAACAATCATTAAGATGGCCTCAAGATTATATTTCACAGTGACCAACATGAAAATTTTTAAATGGGAATTAGTTGATGGCATTATAGTTTTCTAAAGCATTATGCTATATAATTTTGTTCATCAAGGTGAAGAAACCTTAACTCACTGTATACCTTTTCCTGTTACAGAGCTATGGTAGTAATCTTAGAAGATTTTCATGATCCCTCTATTCAGTAGTTCTTTAACCAGTCTGGTATTATGACTGTATTATGTTAAATAGCCTTGTGTGACTTTTGTATTTTGTTTCTTTAATAATACATTTACAATGGTCAAAATTACAGTTTAATCTTTGTATTTCTAATGATAATTACTTGCACATATCCATCACACTTCTCTGTTACTATTAAACTTATTACTATCATGCAAGTAAAATCTCTTTGGAAAAATAAAATGTTGTCCCAGGATAGTCATAAATATCAGCTAGTAAAACTAATGCATGAATATACCTATAATCATGTACATATCAGTCCTTATAGACTCCTCCCTAATACAGACACTTTATTGTGCCACTCCAATGTTCATTCAAAGAGATCCAATTGACATCTGAGCTGGTGATAATATACAACAAAATATTGGAAGTAGGAGTATATCAGATAAGTTGTTCATTCAGTCAAGACCTTCAGGTTGTGCTGATCATCATATCATACTCCATCACATATTGTGCCTTAAAAACATATATATAC